ATAATTTTTTAAAGAATTTTATAAGAAGGTAAAATGAATTTGACAATTTCATGAGGGCGTTTTGGGTTATTCATCAAAATTTTGACCATTGACTAGTTTTTGTTACCAAAATGGTAAACTCAAGCGAGTTATGTCTAAGTTTTAAAATCTCAAGGGAACTAGGTGAAATTGTCAAAAACTTCAAGGGAGGTTTCTGAAATTATCCCTTAATAAAATCATCTTCTTCAAATAATGCCCAACCCCAAATGTTCTTATACAACAATATTCATCACGTTTTTGTTCTAAAAGTTAAAAGGTTTCCATGTGCTTTTCTGGGTATCTTAATGAGATTTTAACAAACCCCTAATATTGGTTTACTGAATATACGCCATTTTCTTTTCTCCTTTTGTGCATATTCCAGTACATTAGATTAGGGAGAACAATTGTTTGTCTGATTTTTATTTTTTGGCTAAAATAACAGAATATGATCTTTTATTCTTGTTACCTGCAATTAGTCTGCTTTTGAATCCTTTCTCATTTTAACTTAAGTGAAAGTTGTAGCCAGAAAGATCCAATTTGGTGACTTTCATCATATCAACTTGTGAAGCCTTTGATAACCTTTCGCCAAAGTTCTTGAGCATTATTTCTGTGCATTGCGCTCGCAAACGTGTGTCTTGGCTGGTGTGCTCACTGAAAATTTTATAAATCGCAAATACGAAATAGTGGTCTATTAGCTTCCTGAATAAATTCCTTTTCTGTTGGATTATGAGTATGATATCCATATTATTTTGTACAGCTAAATCAACTACCAAATTGTGTAACAAAATATGCCGGGAAGAAAGGAATGGGACTGTCTTATAAATGTTATCTATTAGGTTTTCTTCCAAATTTAGAGCTGACCTTTTAGCATGTGGGCTAAAAAATGTGCAGGGGCATCACCTGGACTTGCGACTAGTTCGTAATCAATGGCTTTTGATTGATCCTAAGGTAGAATTTTTAATGTCAGAGGTTAATGAAGAGAAAACATCTGGAGATTTTAGAGAAATGGGACAGAGACTAGCTCAAGAAGTAGTCTCTTTCATAAAGAAGAAGATGGATAAGGTCTCTAGATCTGGAGGCTTACGAAGTATAAAGCTAAGCTTCGTTGGACATTCAATTGGGAACATCATTTTGAGAACTGCATTAACAGGTTCGAATGCTGTGGCAAAAAATGCAATTCTAAGATCAACTTGGAAGGATGCTGATTTTGTGCTTTACTTTTTGCAGAGAGTGTTATGGAACCATACCTCAGATTCCTTTATACCTATGTATCTGTTTCTGGTCCACATCTAGGATATTTGTACAGCTCAAATTCTTTATTCAATTCTGGATTGTGGCTCTTGAAGAAGCTCAAGGGCACACAATGCATTCATCAGCTTACTTTCACGGATGATCCAGATCTCCAAAATACTTTTCTGTACGGACTTTGTAAGGTAATGATTTTGATTGACAGCATGCTCTGAAGTTTTCTTTGCCTCTGGACTCTTTTTTCCTTTAGCCTTTTCCAGTGAAAATTTTCTTCATATTTTCCTTTTCTGATGGGTTGGAAAAAACCTTTGTTTGTTGTCACTGAATATATATCTTCTATGTTTATTTCTCTTCTCTCAGCAAAAGACCTTGGAGAACTTCAGGAACATTATTCTCTTATCTTCACCGCAGGTATTATTTAATCCTCAAACATTTATCACGTGTAGCGAGTTCTGGTTTTCTTCTGCTAGTTGTTTATAACAACTTCATCTTCTTTATTTTCTATAACCTTATAGACATAACACTGCAAAACACTGACAGATCTGCAAAACTTCCATATGATTTTAATTATTGAGTTTGACACCGTGTATCAGACGTGTAGAAAGTTAAATCTCTGGTGATATGATGTTCTTCCACCACTTGTGGGAACAATGACTGTTGTGATGGAAAGGTTTTTTGTTTACTGAGATGGTGAAGAATATTTGGATGCCTTTTGTTAGCCTTCTCAGGTGCTGTACGGTTGCATTGTAGGTTATCGTTAAACATCTATTTTTGTTGGTTAGTTCCAACTTATAGAATACCATAATATGTTAGGATGAAACTTCTTATGGATTCTTTAGAGAATATGCCAACACGCATCTTTTTTTGAGTTGCTCCTCTTGTAAGCCGCTGACTTGTGCCATAGTTAATAGTATTGAGTACCAAGCAAATGTAAATATCCCTTACTCTTTGAATGGCACTGAATGTGTTAGAACCAATAAATGATAGCTGCACGTGTGTTCATAGGTGCAGATGTTAAACTCTTGTATTTCGCCAACTTTATGGCTGCAATCGCCTCCATCAACCTCTCCATCTCTTTCCTCCATCTCATGAGTTTTTTTTTATATATATTTTTTATTTTTTGTACTTTTCAGAACTAACATGTTGCCGCTAGCTTTTCAGGTTTACATGTTATGCTTATCTGCATTACAGTTAACCCTCATATCCACAACTTTTGCCTTTGCCATGTGTCATATTCATCCATCATACCAAACTAGTTTACACCATATCCAATTTTAGATACTATTGGAGTAAAAATTATATATTATTTTAACTCGTATTTATCAAAAAACAAGTTTTAGTTCTGAAGTCGAATTCTTTAACTGTAGCACCGCATGATAAGGGATAGCTGGGGTTGAGGTTAATTTACTCTGCGGAGAACTGTTTGTCGTGGATGAATTTTTTGATGCATTAGATGGTTTTTGAGCTCCAGTTTTGTGTATGATCCCCTTAATAGACCCAATAAGGAAAGTGAGAAACAGTTTGCTAGATGCTCGTCTATCCAATTTTGTGATCGGTTATGTAAACTACTGATGGCAGTGGCGAATTGCTTCTTGTCTCAGGATGGTTACGTGCCATATCATTCTGCAAGAATTGAAATGTGTCAAGCATCTTCAGGGGACAACTCGAAGAAGGGTAAAGTTTTTCTGGAGATGCTTAATGATTGCTTGGACCAGATACGTGCGCCCTTGTCTGAACCCAGAGTATTCATGCGGTGCGATGTTAATTTTGATATCTCCTTGCATGGGAGGAGCTTGAATACTATCATTGGACGAGCAGCTCATATAGAATTCTTGGAGTCAGACATATTTGCCAGATTCCTTATGTGGTCATTCCCAGAACTCTTCCGGTGATTCAAGGAATTTTTTTTTCTCCCATTTTTGTGGTATAGGTGATTTTAACCAAAGACAAAGAACCAGAGCTTTTGATGGCTGTGTGACCTCCAATTTTTGAAGTGAGGAGGGAGGCCAGCCAACTTATGGTTTCTGGATTTGGCATTGCCCCTGGGAGTGGAGCTTAAATCTGAATGTTAAAGGATGCAGCTGAGTGAAGGTGTGTGGATGGATGATGTTTTGCTGTAACAAATGGGCAGTTCACTGAGAAAGCAATTCCGCTTTTGGCTGAAAGCCCTTTTTTTTTTTTTTGCATTTTTTCCCACCCCCACCCCTTTAAGGTGTACCTATGTATTTAGAGTAGTATTTAGTTAGGTAGATTGTGTACTTTTTTAGTTAATTATTACTGTATACATGTTTTATAATAGCAGATTTAGGTGATAAATTTCATAGGGGTGTGTTTGTACATTGGTTGAGGAAGTTTATGGGGTGTCGGGGAAGTTGATGATGAGGATATTGTTGTATCTTTTGTGCAGCGAGAGAAATCATGCACATGTGTAATGAATCCTCAAAAAAGAAGAAGGTTTCTTAATGCTAATATGATGGTTTAGTAGGTAAGTTCCTCAAACAATGAAAAGCTGTTTGATATATCCGCAACAATCAAGAAGCTCCTGGTGTATCCTACTCATTCTTCTTCTCCTCTCAGTTCCAAGTTCTAAGCTCCAAGTTCGGGCTCGAGTTTGATGTTAACAGAGCTTGAGTCGAGTTCGGATTCGAACTGCTCAAGAGTGGCTCGATTCATTTGTAACTCTAATCAAGTTTGAGTTCAATTAAAACTCGTGTTCGAACTCGTATTGACTGAGTTCGAGTTTGAACAATAAAAATTTGAATTCGAACTTGTGTTGATTGAGTTCAAATTTGAATAAATTAAAGGGATAATTTCAGAAACCTCAGGGGAGGTTTCTGACAGTTTCACTCCCCTCCCCTGTGGTTTCTGAAATTCCATAAACCTCCTTTGTCAGATGGTGAGGTCCCATTTCTTACATCATTGGTGCCAAAAAGACTTAAAGACCCTTACAATTTTGCTAATATTTCGTGATTATCTGAAAGCTATTAGTTAAGTTAGTTATAAACACAATTAATGTAATTAACCATAAATTAGAGTCCTAACAACCAAAATAGAAAAGGGAGTGTAGTGAAATGGAGCCAAACTTAGGCGCCATGATCTTGATCTGATTGACATAACAGCTTGAAAAAAATCTGTGCATATAGAAGCAAGAAACTTACTGGACTCCCGCCATTGTTGAGATAGAGCAACTGAGCTTAATGGTTGGCAAACAAACTTGTTGATTCTAAGCTTTGCTGAAGAGTCTCTTAGCTCGACCAGTAAGTGTTTAAGATTTCGGAGACTGTTTCAACATTCCTTGGCAGCTTATGATGATTTGTGCGTTGTTTGTATAAGCTTGATATATGTTTGCTTATGATTTTCTGGTTTGTCATGTGACTTGGTTTGCTAAGCCTCTACCAGATTATGCTTGCTTGATTCTATATTTCTCGTCGTACTTGGGTTGTTTGATATAGTTAGATGCCAAACCTCAGTACTTTGAGAGCTCATTCTTTCTCTGTGTAACTTCAGCAACCAATGTTGCAAGATGGTTAATATTGTAACTAATATTTTCTGTAACTTCAATAACTAATTTGTAACTTCAGTAGGCTATGATTGTCTATTGTAGGATGGTTAACACTGATGTTCATGATATTGTGCTCCATTTTATGGGAAGAAAAGTAAGAGTGGCTAAGGTAGATCCCTAAAATACATTAGACATCCTTTATTAGAGAATGCAGCAGCAAGTTTGCTTATTGCAGAAGATGGGCTATAAATCAAATACAAACGATGAAAATAGGTCATAGCATCATAATGTATCATCCTGCCTGAAATCTGACACTTTTACCATTGAGTTATGCTTTAGTTGAAAGTAAAGAATATACAGAGGAGCCTGCAACAAAAGTAAAGTTCCGAACGTCATTAATCATTCTAGGCTGCTCCACCTCAATGTCATTAACTGGAACTGGTCAGTTTCTCAAACATCCTTTTAGTGCAAATTAAGGAGCTTGCTGCTTGAACTTTGAAATGATTCCATTCAATTTGGGATTGTAGCTGCTGATTGAAAAAATTATCTTCTGCAAATATTAAATTTATTGCAATAATGTCAGGATACAGGGAGAGAGTTTTTGCAATCATTGGTGTCAAGGTGTATGCTGCTGGGCTATATGTGAATCAGTCAATTTCACTAGGATAAAACTGTTTGCATTTATCAAATCTGATTGAACAAGGAAAGAGAGGAGAGGGAAAAGTAAATTAAGAAGCTAATATTGATTGGAAACTGCAGCTCCTTTGGAAAAATCTCTGCAAATTGTTCTGGTGAGAGATGTGGATGGTAAAACGTTTTGGGATGCCTTAGATGAAGCCATCTCTCCAAGAATTAAATCGCCTGCTCCAGTTGATACCGCTGCTCTTTCTACATTTAGTACTCTGTTTCAAGGAAGGCCTCTTAATAAGGGTACCATTATCTTCTTGACTTGGCCGGACTCTACCAAAATGCTTGTAAGTTGCATGTAGTAAAATTCAATTTTCCTGCATTTCTTTATATGCTGATGGCTTTTTGCTAAAGATGTGTTTCCTCTTTTCTTCTTAGTCTTGAGCTTCTACTGTGCTATTTTCTTTCTTGTAAACATATCAGCTTGACTCTCTTAAAAAATCTGTAGGTTTCTGTATCGAGTGATGGGTTGCCTTCTGGTGTTGATGCAACTACTGAGTCAACAAATGTGATATTAGCTCTTTTTGATGTATTTCTGGGAAGTGATTCAGTTTCTCCTACTCTTAAGGCTTCAGTGACCAGTGGATTGACAGCATTGCTGAATGGCTGAAGTAAAGAAAACAAGAGAGATTTTCTGCTCAGTTGTTTTAATTCCTGACACTCAATGTTCATCATAGCTTTCTACATGAATGAAATGCTCTAAATCTTGTTTTGTACACTATGAACACTTTGGAAAGAGCATTGCTCCACTAATCTAATAACCAGAAGTAAGAACCCTCCACTAAAACCTCCCCTGACGTTGTGTGCTTGTCTGTTGATTGGTCTCACTTACACCCCCCAAGTTTCATTCTTCTTAAATTCCCTCCCAATTCTTCACATCAGATTAGCTCTCTAACCCAAGATAATGAGGGCATTTGTGGTATACACTTGTTTCTCTCTCCAGATACTAATTTTTTATTGTTTGTATTTTTAAATTGGGTCTATTTTGGCATTGCCTATCAAGTTTTAGAGGAGGTTTGTGGAATTTCAGAAACCACAGGGGAGGGGAGTGAAACTGTCAGAAACCTCAGGGGAGGTTTCTGAAATTATCCCTAAATTAAATTACTTGATAAGTCGAGATCAGGTTTGATATATGAAACTCTGACTTGAAAACCTGTCAACTCAATCGAATTATATATATATATATATATATTTGTTTTCTTCTCCTTGAGAAAGAAGAAGGTTTCTTAATGATAATATGATGGTTTAGTAGATAAGTTCCTCAAACACAATGAAGCTCTAAGTGTATCTTATACTAAATATTCTTCTTCTCCTCTCAAGAAGAACGGAAGGCTCAATTCCACTGCAAAGCTAAGCCTTTTTTGAGGGCAAGACAAAAAACGAAAGGAGCAGTCAACATCTTCATTCTGTGTCATCTTCTTCTTGGAGATGAGAGCTGAGAGCCCCCCATACACCGATGTCACAGTGAGCGAGTGACGAAAATGTCCCTCGCCTTGTACCCCCGCTTCCACAGCCCTTCCCCTTGTACGCATTCTTCCTCCTACTCCTTCCCCTCTTCCCCCAAACTCCATTTCCTCACCACCTTCCCGCGACCTTCCACCACCGCCGTCTCCGTCCGCGCCAAGCCCAAAGAACTCATCCTCGGCAACCCTTCTGTTCTCGTCGAAAAGGGCAAGTACAGCTACGACGTCGAGACCCTCATCAACAAGCTCTCCAGTCTTCCTCCCCGCGGCAGCATCGCCCGATGCCTCGACGCTTTCAAGAACAAGCTCTCCCTCTCCGACTTCTCCCTCGTCTTCAAGGAGTTCGCCTCCCGCGCCGACTGGCAGCGCTCCCTCCGCCTCTTCAAGTACATGCAGCGCCAGCTCTGGTGCAAGCCCAACGAGCACATTTACGCTCTCCTCATCGGCATTCTCGGCCGCGAAGGCCTTCTCGAGAAAGCCTCTGAGGTATTCGACGAAATGCCCCAGCACAACGTCGTCAGGACCGTTCTCTCCTACACCGCCATCATTAATGCCTATGGCCGAAACGGTCAGTACCAAACCTCTTTAAGTCTGCTGGACCAGATGAAAAAGAGAGACCGAATTCTTCCTAGCATCCTCACTTACAATACCGTTATCAATGCCTGCGCTCGCGGCGGCTACGAGTGGGAGGGGCTTCTGGGCTTGTTCGCCGAAATGCGGCACGAAGGGATTCAGCCGGATTTAGTCACTTACAATACTCTCCTGAGCGCCTGCGCCAGTAGGAAGCTGGGGGACGAGGCGGAGATGGTGTTTAAGACCATGAACGAAGGTGGGGTTTTACCCGATATAAATACCTATAGGTATCTGGTCGAGACGTTTGGGAAGTTGGGGAGGCTAGACAAGGTTGGGGTGTTGTTGAGGGAAATGGAGGAAGAGGGGAATTTACCCGAGGTTACGAGTTATAACGTGCTGTTGGAGGCTTATGCGGATTCAGGGTCCATCAAAGAGGCCGTTGGGGTGTTTAGGCAAATGCAGGCTGCAGGGTGCGTGCCCAATGCCTCCACCTACAGCATCTTGCTCAACTTGTACGGGGGTCAAGGGAGATACGATGAGGTTAGAGACCTATTTCTTGAGATGAAGGTGAGTAACATACATCCCGATGCGGCCACATATAACATACTTATACAGGTTTTCGGGGAAGGAGGGTATTTCAAGGAGGTTGTGACGTTGTTTCATGATATGGCTGAGGAAAATGTGGAGCCGAATATGGAGACCTGCGAGGGCTTGATGTATGCATGTGGAAAGGGTGGGCTGCACGAGGATGCAAAGAGAATTCTTCTTCACATGAAAGAGAAGGGGATTGTGCCGAGTTCTAAGGCATACACTGCAGTAATTGAAGCTTATGGTCAGGCTGCGTTGTATGAGGAGGCTCTCGTTGCGTTCAACACGATGAATGAGGTGGGAAGCAAGCCAATTGTTGAGACGTATAATTCATTGATTCATGCATTTGCTAAAGGAGGGCTGTACAAGGAGTTTGAAGCGATTATTATGAGAATGGGTGAGCTGGGTGTTCCGAGGAACAGGGATTCGTTTAATGGTGTTATTGAAGGATACAGGCAGGGAGGGCAGTTTGAAGATGCTATGAAGGCTTATGTGGAAATGGAAAAGGCAAGATGTGATCCTGATGAGTGTACTCTTGAGGCAATTTTGAGTGTTTACTGCTTTGCTGGTCTTGCAGACGAGAGTGAGCAGCAGTTTGAAGAAATTAAGGAGTTGGGCATACTGCCTAGTGTCATGTGCTACTGTATGATGTTGGCAGTTCATGGAAAAAATGACAGGTCAGATTTCTATTGCCTATGAAGTAAATTTAAAAAAAAAAAAAATTTTTTTTGGGGGCCCTCTGTGCAGTTGTATTATGACTGGCATTGCTGCATTAATGGGCGGCCAAGGTTTCGAGTCATACATTGCTACAATGCCATAATCTACAGTTGAATTTCACATTTTTTCTTGTGCCTGCTCGAGTTAACACATTTATATTATGTGTAGATGTATTTTACCTAATACAAAATGATGTTTTGCGTATCACAATCTAATCGAGTTGTTGAACGATAATGTAAAGAAAGATACACACACACACACATATATATATATATTGACCATAGGTATGATTTTGGCTTTAGCAGTTAGCTAACTATAAAATTCTAAGATGCGCTGACTTTTTCTTCATCCTTATTGACGAGTTACTGAATTTTCATGTTACTTTTTATTTATTTAATGTGCTATTTTTTTTTCAGTCTATTGGAATTTGTAGTTGTGATTTGATTCTCTCTCTTTCCCGTAATTGAAGTACATGTAGCTTGGACTGTGTGATATTACTGCAAAGAATGTATAGTTGCGTTTTATATGTAATCCTGTGATTTCTTTTGTGCTTTGTTGGCTATTGCAGAAGACTTGAAGTTTTATATTACATGAGGTAGTAGTATGCATAGGGAATTTCTGACTTTCTCCAAACCTGTAGTGGGCTTTGGAGCTTTTAAGGCTTCGGATGTTGACTTTGGATATCAAATGTTTAGCTTTGGCTGTTTCAGATCTCTGAGAGTATATTGAAGTTATGATGCCGTGTTTTGAATGAATACTTTTGCAGTTTCTCTGTATTCATATTTTCAACAAATTTTACATTTTCTTCTTTTTCAGGTTGGACAGAGCCTATGACTTGCTGGATGAGATGTTGTCCACTAAAGCATCCAATATCCACCAGGTCATGGGGCAGATGATCAGAGGTGATTTTGATGATGAAATTAACTGGCAGATGGTAGAGTATGTGCTTGACAAACTTAACTCTGAAGGTTGTGGTCTAGGAATGAGATTCTACAATACGCTTCTAGAAGCACTTTGGTGGCTTGGCCAGAAGGAAAGGGCTGCAAAAGTGCTAAATGAAGCAACAAAGAGGGGACTCTTTCCTGAACTGTTTCGTATTAAAAAATTTGTCTGGTCCGTGGATGTGCACAGGTATTGAGCTGCTTCCGCCCGTTGAGTTTCTATTTCCTCTGAAGCAAATCTAGTATGACAAAGATGAAAGATTTGCAAGCTGTGGTTGCTTATGTACTACTTGTCCTTTCGTTGTTTTGACCCTTTTAGGATGTGGCCTGGTGGTGCATGCACAGCAATTTCTGTCTGGCTGAAGAATATGCAAGGTCGGGTAGATGATGGGGAGGATCTTCCTCAACTGGCATCCGTCGTTGTGGTGTAGGTCTTTTTATTCTATGTTTAATTATATAATAACCTTGTGTACTAGGTTTTTGCTCTTACATGCTATTCCAGCTCCAGTAACCCCTACCAAAGAAAACAAAAGGTATTACGTGGAAATGGGCAAAATATAAAAAGTGAAACAGAGTATACAGGAAAGAAATTCCTGTCCTTTTCTGTTGATATTATTCTTTTGGGTGATTGACGCTCGTGCTCTTTCCTGTTTTGCAGACGGGGACATATGGAGAGGAGTTCCATAACACGAGATTTCCCTGTTGCAAAGGCTGCATATTCTTTGCTGAAAGATAGTGTTTCATCATCTTTTTGTTTCCCGGGATGGAACAAGGGACGAATAGTTTGCCAAAAATCTCAGCTAAAGCGGATTCTCTCTAGCACTGAATCATCCTCCAAAGAACCTAACAGTGATGCTGTGATTAATATAAGTAACTCTCCTTTGCCCTTTGTGGAAACGGGAACTTCCAGGAGTGACGTCAAGAGAAGGCGACGCGAGAGTGGTGACATTGAGACAGGCTTTAGAACAAGAATTGAACTCACTACTAGCACAGCTTGAAGAGAGAATTGCTTTCAGCTGCTTTATTTGGGCAAGTGTTAGCCAGTGGAAGAGTTAAATGGATGAGGGCTCTGGACCAAGCTGCGCGCTTAAAACATTGCATCATGTTGGAGACCAAGTTTCGATCTTAGCTAGCATAGACACACATGCTGGAGCAGATGTGACCTGATTTTTGACTTTGGTGGTGCTAGCCTGCTTGGTTAGTTGAACCCTCAGCAGATGACATTGGAGCCAAAATTTTTGTCCGTGGCTTCAAGTGGAGAGCAGGGCGGAACACACTTTGATGTGTTGTGGGTGAAAGATCTTATTCCTGTAATCAATGACACTGACACCGATTCAAAATGCTCAAGTGACTTCCATTTTGGATTTTTAGCAGTCATCAGCGCTTTTGTTACGTAATGGTTGCTGATTGTAGGTAAAAATGGCCATCCATTAACTGAAGAATGAATGTACAATATGTTGTCTCCAATTTTGTTGTGATGAATTACTGACACAAATATAATTGAGTAGTTAATGCTGTTGAAACTTTGCCAAGTTCTGATTTGGCTTAACCCTCAAAAAGTTTTTTGGCAGGGCAGGTTTTAATGTTGTTGGTCTCATATTTGGCTGACTAGTCATGGCGGACTGCAATATGAAATCTTGTGTTAATTCTATCAATGCCTTCTTCCCCTTTTGGCCCTTCTTCCCTCTCCTATTGCTGCTTCGGCATAGCAGTTTTGACAGGTTCTTTTACCTACCAACTCTGCATTAAGAGTTAATATGCGGCCATGTTGGCTCACTCTAGTGGTTTGCTTGTCCTCCTCTCTATCCAATATTTGATATCCACCCTAAAACAGTTTTTTTTTTTTACAAAAATATATTTTAGGTTTTAGAATTTGAAAAGTAGTTTCCCCATTTAAGAAAAAACGAGTGTGTTTTTTCAACCTGTAGTTGGAAATGTTTTTGTAACCTATACCATACCATTATTCCCTCTCAGGTGAGGTTTAACTTAAGGGACTTGATCAAGAAAATTTTTTCCTAACATGAGGTCTTCTTATTATTCTACAAGAAACCGTCTACGCACGACCAGCTTAATATATATATAGTTTCCCAAGCATCTTACCATGCTTCGTATGGAGATGGTAGTTAAGGGATCGTTGCAGGGTAAGACAACTCTAAAGGTTAAGGTTGTGGTGCTAAATATGCACTGATGGGTTTTAAGGGGAAAAGGATTAGTCTCAAGCAAAGAGGGAAGGGATTGATCTCAAAGAAAGAGGGTCTGTTATTTCTTCTTCTGGCAGCAAATGGAGCTCAAAAGGAGAATATTTAAGTTTCGTTTCAGATAATGCTAGTAGCTTAATGATGATTATGGCGGACAAAACTTGATGCAACAGACTTGGGATATGGTAAAGAAAAGAAAGATATGATAAAGAAATCAGGGATGCATCTTGAAGATAAAGAGCAGCATCCCATCCGGATTGCTAATAATTGAGGGGTGGGGTGGGGGGGGACTTGTTCAGCAACTTTACAGAGTTTTTGGTCCTACTACTTTTACATATTGGATGGACCAGAAAGAAAGGCCAGAGAATGGGAAAGCGTCCAATGGATGAGCCCAATCCCAATGGTGTCAAATATACTATAGAGACATATTACTTTCACGTCAGATAAAAAAAAGAATGTTGACCAGGACTGGGGGAGTGGGATTGGATCAGATTTTATGCGTCTATTAAATTAAATTAAATGTGGATTACCTTTAGGTGTATGACCCTAAATCCAAGGAGAAAGGCCCGAATATGTCAACATTGATCATTAGGACACACAAATTACAGTTACTGGTACTTGTTGTAATAGCTGGAGAAATGCGACCTTTTAACTCACGACTGTCCATCGTCCATGTTAACACAATGTATCCAAGACTCTCTCTCTCTTTCTCTCTTACTTAGGACTGCAAACGAACCGATCCGACTCGCGAGTAGTTCGAGTCAAAACTCAAATCGAATTCGAGTTCAAAATATTAAATTCGTCAGCTCATAAGACGACTCGCGAATTTGAGTATATATATATATATATTAATAGTAAAATTACATATATATTCTAATATTTTATTATTTATTAAGAAAAAATAATTATTTATTATTTTTATTAGATTAATTTCCAGAAACTCGAGCACACGATTGAGCTACAGCTTGCGAGCCTTGTCGACTCGAGCTCAAGCCTGACTTTTTCTTGGTCGAGTCCAACTCGAGCTCGATTTTCTTGACTCGTTGAGTTCGAGTTCGAACTCGAACCTACCTGTTATTAAGCCGAGCTCGGCTCGATAAGTTTAAAATTCGATTCAACTGGACTCGTTTGCAGCTCTTGCCTTACAACTATAGTAGTATAATAGTAGCAATTTGGCATGCGCTTCGGCTGGCCAGCACCCTTTACCACTAGTTGCCAAACTTAGAAGTCGTCCCTCCCGTCCGTGGATGATTGGCTTTGTAGCAGTAGCAGAACAGGATATATTCGGTTACATTTCGGACAAGGTCACACTATCAAGTTGCCGAATTCTTGGGTTTCGTCCAGAAAATGTTAGAAAAAGGTCACACTATCAAGTGGTAGTAATTGACGCATCTTTTTAGTTTCTCTGCTTGACAACCAACAAAGGCAGAAGGAGAAGACACCACTGCCAAAGTAAAGTGCTTACCATAGTTTCTCTAAATTCTTTCATAAATTGAGTACTAAGATGCTTCATGCACTCACTTTCCTTTTTCACTCTTTTTTTTTTTTTTTGACGTTGATAAATAGTTTACCTAGTGAAACATGAATTGTCATCATAAAGGATGATAAGATTTTAATCTCTTTCTCTCTTATTCTTTATTGTAGAAAAAAAAAAAAAAAAAAAAGAAGAGGGAGGGACGGCAAAATCTGGAACTATACATTCACATGCAACAAAAAAGTTATGTATGGATTATTGCATTGGAATTGTGGGAAAGATCTTTTTTTTTTTTTTTTTTTGACTCCAATTAATTAAACTACTTCCAAAATCTGGAACATTAAGCATACGTACGTAGTGCCAAATTTAAATTTAATTTAATTTAGATACATACAACTCTCTTCCGATCATTCCTAAGTGAACGAATGAAGACAAGATAAAATTAATTTTCCATGTCAAAATATCGCAGCACTTAATTATTCACTAATGGGATGATGGGAGGAATTTAAAGAACCATCAATAATGTCAACAGCAAACCCAAAAAAAAAAAAAAAAGTCGCTTTCAGAAAATCCATGGCAAAAATTAATTTTTTTTATAAAAAAAAAAAAACCAAAATGGTTAAGCCAGAAGATTCTAAAAAAATTAATGATTTTTTTTTTTTTTGTCCTGAGTCCAGACAGCAATAATGCGACTTTAGATGATAAACAGTACACAGCCATTCTTTTTTTTTATTTATTTATTTAAGGAGTACATAAAAGTTGACTAGGTGAATGCATCGAGATCCCAAAGGTTCCAATTGTTCTTTGGACAATATAAAAGTATAAAACTTTTTTTTTTTTGGACAATATAAAAGTATAAAACTCGATGACCTATGTCAAATCACATTACTCCACAGGATTCATGCATCCAGAGATTACGTTTAGTCATTAATAAAAATGTGGATTTGCATCACATCTTTTGTTTCTTAGTAATTAATTTAGAATGGGAGTTTGGACCCCTTTCAAAAGTCCTCCTTCTTCCATCCCAATTATATGGACCGGAAAGGGTTCTCAAAAAAATCATGTGGACCGATTTTTGTTCAAACGCATAAGATATAACTTCGTTGATTCAAGATGTTTAATAACTTGTAAATATATGAAAAAAATTTATGGGACCTATATATAGTTATGTTATAATTGATGTACACACACACACACAAACAGTTGTCGAATCCGCACTGTAAAACTACGTACGCATCGTTACCGATGGTTTTAATTGGTTCTTTGCTTTTGCGGATGGTGATACTTATGGGGCCAGAATTCTTTCGACTTGGGATTTATTCATGCAGAGATCAATATTCCTGGTGTGCGTTGGTACATGGATTACGAGAATACAAATCTTTTCTCTCTCTCTCTCTCTCTCTGACCAGTAAACTTTGTTGTCATCTTCTGAAAGGGATGGAGTCATAGTAGTAGTTTGGCAAGTGGATTTTAATTGTAGTCTTAGCCATAGGTATTAAATCCGATTCGATTCGAAAGTTAAATCGGTCAAATCGATGGACCCGTAAATGGAACCGGACCGATTTAGCAATTGGATAGAAGTTGTAGATGACTCGCTTTGAACTGTTTGATCCGAACGGTTGAATCGATGCCCCACTAAACTCGACGGTATTTTATGAAAAATCCAGTAGGTATTGAAAATGTTTTTGAAATTACTTTCTTACCCAATTTTTAAATTTGACCAACCACACCAATATGGGCATTGTCATCCTTTTGACAATTAGATGCGAATAATTGAAAAAGAATTTGAAAATTAGTTTTGTTTCTTTCTTTCTTTGGCACTTGGATTTATTATTTATGTTTGTGTATAGTATCAATATGAATTCATAAACTAAGGAATACATATGGGTATGCTTTGTGTATATGAATTATGATATATGAATGGCTTATGACTTGTTAATATTTAAAAATTTCTGTACAAATAATTATATTTTATATATTTTTTATTATATAGTGTGATCCATCGATTGAACCACTGACCTGTCAATTCGGTCCTCTTGTCGGATCGATGCCGAGTTGGTTTTAATAACTATAGCGTAAGCTAAGGAAATGATAACAAAGAACAGTAAAAAACAAGCATGAACGAAACATGAAAAGCACGAAAAGAGATCCCCTAACAGATGTAAAGGACACGTTGTCCTTCTCACTTTTGAAGAAGCTTAAAATGTAGCACCAATGTTCATAGCTTAATATTGTGCAACCCAAGGGTCCATTGAGCCTACTTGGGACAGGGGAGAGGTAATATAGGAAAGGATTATAAGTGCAACCAAAGGGTCTATTAAGCCTACTTGGTGCAGGGGAGCGTTGGGTTGTATAGTAAGTGCAACCAAAGGGAGCGTTGGGTTGTATGATAAAATAGGAAGGATTATAAATAAAAGATCCTGCATTTAAAAAATATGTATTTAGCACGAAGAGGGGTGGATTGGGTTTGATGGTAAGATAAAAGGGATTATAAGTATGAGATCTAGAATACTTATAAGAAAAAAACAAAAAAAAGAAGAAGTCTATTTGGCATACCTATTTTATGAGTTTTTAAAAACACAAAAGCACACACAAATTTAAAATATGTATATATACACTAAAAAAAATACATTAAATAAGATATCTGTGGCAGAGATAGACAGCGGTAGTAATGGCGAGGGTTATATCGATG